CGTGATTAACACTTTCTTCTGACAATCGGGTTTGTTTTGTTAGGACTTTTCCAACAGGCCCAAGGCTATGTTCTCTTTAGTGTGGCTATTTTTTCCCCTTTTCAGCAGTGAGAGGATGACACACGACAGAAGCAGTAAGCTAGGGAGCCTGAGAAGACTGGGAGAGAAAAGCGGTTGTGTTGAAATCAAAGTTGCTCCAGACTTAATGAGACACAGCCACGGGCAAGTCATCAATAGGGCACACTGAATGATAACCGGGCGTGATAGAATGCACATCACCACAGGCCCCCACTGCTGTGAGTGACCTCACCGTCCCCAAATACAGCATGCTCTCACCCACTCACGCCTTCCTGTCGCTCCATGCACCCCTCCTTTGGCTCACCACCCCCACACACGCAAACAACAAACTTCTCAATATCCTCCCGGCTTGTCCTGCTCTCCACAGCTCCATTCTACTCAACTCCCCGGGAGCCGTAAAGAGTGATGCATTATGGGAGGACACCTCCTGGGAGCCACGCACAGCAGCCAGCCCTTAGACTTTCACTCCTTGAACCTAGGGCACAGCAGGGATTATTGTCCTGCCCTTGTTTTCATCACTGTCCTTGCCCACCACAGCTAACCTGGCAGAAATGAAGATAATCTAAAAAGACACTTGCATCTCTCCATCATCTGACTATCAAATTACTGGAACAATGGACCCCCCAAAACTAGGAGCCACCCCCTCACCCAGGAATCACATGGTAGGCGGAGGAAGAGACCACCCAGAAGGAAAACTTGTCTTCCAGATCTAACAGCTTGTCAGACCACCTTACAGGGCAGGAATAAAGCTCCTCAGACAATGATGGAAGAGGAATTGCTTGGATGTCTTTGGCCTTTTGTTTAATCTTTGCTCTCACTTCAGGACCCTACGATGGACTTAATTCAGAGAGAGGGCCTCACGGGATTTCTTTATTCCTCTTTCCAATGTGATCACGTTGAGTAAATTGCCCTTTTCTCCTTTCCTGTTAATTCAGCTGTTGCAGTTGGGCTTCTTAAGGACGGTGGCTGTTCTCAGACTTTTGAGGTACAGACTGTGACCCCAAGTTCTGTGACACCATCACTAGCTATTCCTTTCAAAATATTCATGGTCCCTCAGAGGAATTGCCCCTCCCTCCTTTCTACACTCTGTCAGGTGGGAGTCAAGACCACGAGATAAACACACAGCCCCTCTACCTGGATACTTGAGCTCACTGAAGAGTCAGTCCTAGAGGCCACAGATGTCGGCTTATAGGCCAACTAGAGAACCAGGTATTAGCGATTTAAAGCAAGAAGGAACTATCCTAGGATCTAAGCCACTCAAGCAGAACATAAGCCCCTAGGTAGGCGACAGGTGGGTGGAATGGGGACAGGAAGAGGAAGGGGGAACGGTGAGGGGCCGTGGCCTTTCCTAACAGCCATCTCACATGCTCCCCTCTTCTGAGGGGACCCTGAAGACCCAGAAGCCCAAAGCAGGCATGCAGGACCCTCCCTGTGAACTCCAGGGGAGATTCCTTTCGGTCTGCTTCCCAAGATGAAGTTCTCACAGGCTGTTAAAAGCGGTGAGCTTATTTGCAAGCCAGGGTCATATCTGCCTAGCAACCCAACCAGAAGACTTGAGGGACTATAAGTGTGGACAGGGAACAGGCAGGCCAAGTCTGCACAAAGAAATCTGTTCTCATGCAAATGACCCTAAGCAAGAGGGCTAGGAAAAAAAGGGAGCCTGGGACAGCTCTGAGGACGCTGTTTTCCCCCAAGAAGATGCTGAGGGACTCTTTCACAACACATTCACTGCCTTGCCTTCTGCAAAAGACAAGCCAGAGGGGGCTATGCCGGCTGCACAGACTCCCACTGACCTACTGCAGAGGCCAACAGTACAGCCCAGCTCTGAGCTTGATTTCCTGATTTTTCTGGTCCTGTACTCCAGACTGCAAAGGTCCTTTTGTTCTGATTTAGGACTAAACAAAGTTAGTTTTGTTTGGGGGGGTTGATTAGCATGGTAATGCAGTACTTTCGCTGAAGAAGTGAGAAAAGCAGAAGCTTTCGTCTTTTCACTGGACCAGTGGGCTTGAGGAGAAAGACGTCAGGCCGGTCTCTAACCAGCACTAGCAAAAGTCACCAGCTCGTGGCCAGCAAGGCTGGATTCCGCCCACCTCACCATTATTCAAACACACGCAGTACAAGTCAGCTTCATAGCCAACCGTTGCAAACCAGGCCTACGGTTTCTACAGATGTCTCTTGTCTCAACCTGCCTCACCTTTAAAATGGAGATCACACCTACCCTTCACAGGAGGGCTACTGACAGCACCAAAACACACAAGGATGAGCCAAGCATGATGGAGCAGACATATAATCCCAGAACTTGGGGGGTGTAAATTCAGAGGATCAGGATTTCAAGGATCTTCATGGGACTTTATCTCAAAAAAAAAAAAAAAATCCAAATAAGCTGGGCATGGTGGCACATGCCTTTAATCCTAGCTTTCGGGAGGCAGAGGCAGGCAGATATCTGTAAATTGGAGGCCAGGTCTACAAAGCTAGTTCCAGGGCAACCAGGGCCACAGAGCAAAATCCTATCTGGGGGAAAAACATACAAACAAAATCATCACATGGATGGCACTTAATTCAGTATTGGGAACAGCATAAATATAAAAAATGTAATAAAATAGTAGTAATGCTCTATTAATAATTGAACATTATTGTTGTTAAAGCCTCCAACAGCCTGGTTTCATGGGGCCAATCTTTCATTGATTGCTAGGGACTCCAGGCATTGTCTAATTTTTAAAGTTAAGATGATGAAAAGGTAGGCATCATGGCACATGCCAGAAATCTCAGCACTTGGGAAGCTGAGGCAGGAAGATTGCAAGTTCAAGACCAGTGTGAGTTACATAGCATGACAGTGTCTTAAAAACATGCCATTTCCAGCTAGGCAGCGTGTACTGCGGTCAGAGCTACTGCACACATTGAGTTTGGAGGATGGCGTGAGTCTGGGCATCACAGGCTGTGAGGAAAACCTGTGGTCCCACAGCCTGTGAGGCTTTGACAGGAGGATCTTCAGTTTTGGGCCAGTCTTGGGTTTGGCTGGTGAGATCGTATCTAAAAAAATAAGCTAATAAAATAAACAAAATAAATAAATAAATAAAAACAGGATCGGGGGCTGGAGAGATGGTTTGGCAGGTAAGAGCACTGACTGTTCTTCCAGAGGACCCCTGCTCAACTCCAAGCACTCACATGGTAGCTAGCAACTGTAATTCCAGTTCCTGGAGATCCAACACCCATGGCAAGACACCAATGCACATAAAATATAATGAATGAATGAATGAATGAATGAATGAATGAATGGGATCAGGGGTTCAAACTTAAATTTGAGGCCAGCCTGGACTACCTGAGACCCTGTCTGAGGTGGGGGAAAGGTTTAATTATTCCTACAAACTTGCCAGCTATTAATCAGTGATAGCCTGGCAGGATTGCAGTGGCCTTAATAACACATCAATACACCTGCTCCCCCACTTAACCCACACCGGATGTTAACAGCATTGAATGACTGAGTTCCCAGATTGTGTGTGTGGGGGGGGAATCGAAGAGCAAGAGAGGGTTTTTATTAAAATTTAGAACCGGCTGCTCCTCCCTGTGGCGACCCTCCAGGCACACTCTCAAAGTAGGTTCTCTTGAGTTTCTAACGTCAGAAAGACAGTCTCTGAACCACAACCAAGGACCAGGGGTTGGCGAAGTAGGCAGGGAAATGCAGACAAGAGCGTTTGCTGCGGAGCAGTTCCCAAATTTCCCCTAGAGGTGTGTGACGGAGTCCAGGAAACCAACTTTGCGCCCCCTCTGGCTCCGAACTGTCCCTTATCCTCGGACGCACGTTGTCCTCAGGAGAAACTCCTAACTCGGGCTTCCCGGGCAGCATCCATTTAGTTCATAGTGACCTTGGAGTCAAGGGGCTTGGAGATGTGGGGATCCCGATACCCTATAGAGGCCTCCCGGGAGATTAGGCAGCCTTGCACCTGTGCGGATGTCGCCTCCCGCCTGGGCGGGTGCACGCGCACGGAGCAGAGGGGGATGCTGACTCAGCCATGCTTCTTCCATCGCTTTCGCGCAGCGCGGATGCCGGCTGCTGCGGCTGCAGCCAAGGCGGGGGGGGAGGCAATGCACCCGCAGCAGCCGAGCGGCGGGCTCCTCGGGGCCCACTGCGGCACTCCCTCCCCGTGCCCGGAAGGGGAACTGGCGGGGCGCGCGAGTTGACGAAATTTTGGGGGGAAGTGGTGGCTGGAGGAGGAACTCGGGAGCCCGCGCGTGCTCTGCTCACACCCAAACTGGAAGGAACCTGTTCAGTCCG